CAAAATAAAAACAGAAAACAATCAGACAAATACTGAGGGGGAGACATTGGAGGACATCGAGGTGTGTGTCAGTTAACGACAGCCGCCTACAGCAACCGTAAGCGTTTATCTCCCCTGGTTCCCGTGGGTCGGGAGCTCAGGGGTGGCGTCAGGTGGGTGGGTCTGGTTTGGAGTCGCGCTCCCCAAGGTGTCCATCAGGGCATGGCACCCAAAGGCGTGGCAGAGAGGAAGGCTGTGCCCGCGCTGACTCACTCACATGACTGCCAAGCCGTTGGCAGGAGTTTCAGTTCCTCTCTGGCTGTTGGCCCGAGGCCTCAGTTCCTTAACGTGTGGACTTCTCCGGAAGGAGGCTTCCATGGCCTCTGGACACGGCGCCAAGTCCCCCCGAGGGCTGATCCCAGGAAGCCAGGAGGAAGCCGCGTGTCTCCGATGGACTAGCCTTGAACGTGACCTCAGTTTTGCAGTACGGTTTTGGTTACCAGCTCAGTCCTATCTGAGGTGGAAGAAGCTACGTGAGGGTGGGGATCCCAGGGCAGGAGGCGGTGGCTCAGGGTCATCTTGGTGGCTGGCTACTGAGATGCGAATCCATTGCACGATGATGAGGATGATGGTGGTGATGATGGTGGTGATGGTGATGGTGGTGGTGATGGGGATGATGTGATGATGGTGATGATGATGGGGGTGGTGGTGATGATGATGATGATGGTGGTGGTAATGGTAGTGGTGATGCTAGTGATGTGATGATGCTGGTGATGATGGGGATGGTGGTGATGATGAGGATGTGATGATGATGGTGATGATACTGGTGATGGTGATGATGATGGTGACGATGATGATGGTGGTGATGATGGTGATGTTGGTGATGATGGTGATGATGCTGGTGATGGTGATGATGATGGTGATGATGGTGATGGTTATAGTGATGGTGGTGATGATGAGGATGTGATGATGATGGTGATGGTGATGATGGTGATGATACTGGTGATGGTGATGATGATGGTGAAGGTGGTGATGATGGTGATGGTGGTGATGATAATGCTGGTGATAGTGGTGGTGGTGATGATACTGGTGATGGTGATGGTGAAGGTGGTGATGGTGATGATGGTGATGATGATGGTGATGGAGGTGATGATGGTGATGATACTGGTGATGATGATGGTGAAGGTGGTGATGATGGTGCTGGTGATGATGATGGGTTGATGATTATGATGGTGATAATGATGATGATGGTGATGGTGATGATGGTGATGATACTGGTGATGATGATAGTGAAGGTGGTGATGATGCTGCTGGTGATAGTGGTGATGGTGATGATGGTGATAATGATAATAGTGGTGGGTTGATGATTATGATGGTGATGTTGATGATGGTGATGATGGAAATGGTAGTGATGATGATGATGGCAATGATGATATCAATATGTGTGGGTATGCATAGGTATACATAGATGGATATATATGTATATTAACATAGAGTATGTAATACTTATATTTTATTCTATTATATACATTAAAAATATTTTTATTGAGTTCAGAGAGAAAGGGAGAGGGAGAGAAAGATAGAGACATTAATGATGAGAGAGAATCACTAATAGGCTACCCCCTGCACACTCCCCACTGGGGATCGAGCCTGCAACCCAGCATGTGCCCTGACCGGCAATCAAACCCGTGATCTCCTGGTTCATAGGTCAACACTCAACCACTAAGCCACTTCAGCCAGGCTTGATTTTTTTTAGATTCCACAAGAGATAGTATCGCACAGTATTTGTTTTTCTTTGTCTGACTCATTTCTCTCTGCATAAAGCCCTCGGGTTCATCGATGCTGATGGAAATGGCAGGAGTTTCTTCTTCCTCATAGCTGAGGAGTAATGTTTCATTGTGTATATAAATCATATCTCCTTTAGCCATTCATCCGTGGAGGGACACGTAGGTGGTTTCCAGATCTTAGCTGTAATGAATGAGGCTGAAATAAACATGGGGGTGGGGGGGGGGGCATGCAGCTATAGCTTCAAAATCCCGATTTCATTTTCTCTTGGATTTACACCCAGAAGTGGAATCTCTGGATCAGTAGCAGCTCTATTTTTTTTTTTAATCCTCAAGCAAGGATATTTTTTTCCATTGGTCTTTAGAGAGGATGGAAGGGAGGACGGGAGGGAGGGGAAGAGAGAGAAACAACAATGTGAGAGAGATACATCAACTGGTTGCCTCCTGCATGCGACCTGAGGGGCCTGGGGATCAAACCTGCAATTGATATATGTGCCCTCGACTGGGAATCAAACCTGAGACCCCCCCCCAGTCCCGGGGCTGATGCTCTAACCACTGAGTCAAACCGGCCAGGGCTCCATTTAAAAAAAATTTTTTTTAAATTGATTTCATAGAGGGAGAGGGAGAGATAGAAACATCAATGGTGAGAGAGAATCACACCCCCTGCACACCCCCTTCTGGGGATCGAGCCCGCAAACCAAGCATGTGCCCTTGACTGGAATCGAGCCCAGGACCTTCCAGTCTGCAGGCTAATGCTCTATCCACTGAGCCAAACCAGCTCAGGCCAGGGCTCCATTTTTCATTTAAAAAATTTTTATTTTTAATATATATTTTTATTGATTTCAGAGAGGAGGGGAGAAGGAGAGAGAGATAGAAACATCAATGATGAGAGAGAATCATTGATCAGCTGCCTCCTGCAAGCCCCCTCCTGGGGATAAAGCCTGCAACTCAGGCATATGCCCTGACTGGGGATTGAACTGGTGACCTCTTGGTGCATGGGTCGACACTCAACCACTAAGCCATACCAGCCATGCTGCCTTGGGGTTTAGACCCTATACTTCTCAGGCGGAACCTTAGCAGATATTCCTCCAGAACCTTAGCCACAGACTTTGGGAGCAGGTTTTTCCCTTTTCATATATTCTCTGCCGTTGCCCCACGGCCACAGCTGCCCCACGGCCACAGCTGCCCCACGGCCTCACCTGCTCCACGACCACAGCTGCCCCATGCCCACAGCTACTCCACACCCACAGGTGCTCCATAGCCACAGCTGCTTCACGGCCACAGCTGCCCCACGCCAACAGCTGCCCCACAGCCACAGCTACTCCCTGGCCTCAGCTGCCCCATGGCCACACCTGCTCCAGGGCCACAGCTGCTCCCTGGACACAGCTGCTCCACAGCCACAGCTGCTCCACAGCCACAGCTGCTTCACGGCCACAGCTGCCCCAAGCCAACAGCTGCCCCACAGCCACAGCTGCTCCCTGGCCTCAGCTGCCCCATGGCCACACCTGCTCCAGGGCCACAGCTGCTCCCTGGACACAGCTGCTCCACACCCACAGCTGCTCCACAGCCACAGCTGCTCCACAGCCACAGCTGCTTCACGGCCACAGCTGCCCCCAACCCACAGCTGCCACACAGCCACAGCTGCTCCCTGGCCTCAGCTGCTGCCCAGAGCTGCCCCACGCCCACAGCTGCCCCACGCCCACAGCTGCTCCACAGCCACAGCTGCTCCCTGGACACAGCTGCTCCAGGGCCACAGCTGCTCCCTGGTCTCAGCTGCTTCATGGCCACAGCTTCTTCCTGGCCTCAGTTGCTCCACACCCACAGCTGCTCCCTGGCCACAGCTGGGGCGAAAGGGTTCATGATTAAATCCTCGACTGTGCTCTCTGAAGGCTGAGTCTTGGAGTAATATTTTCACCACATTCCCATAGTGATTCCTTTGTTTTCAATCCTCACCCGAGGGTATGTTTCCCATTGAGTTCTAGAGAGAGAAAGTGGAAGGGAGGGAGGAGGGGGAGAGAGAGAGAAACATCCATGTGAGAGAGACCCCGTGATTGGTTGTCTTCTGCACCCGCCACTATCAGGGCTGGGGAACCTGCAAGTGAGGTTTGTGCCCTCGGCCTGGAATGGAACCTGCAAACTTTCGGTTCAGAGCCTGTGCTCTAGCCACCAGACAAAACACGCCAGGGCGCCCCCTAGTGATTCTTTATTCTCCTCTCTCTCTCTCTCTCTCTCTCTCTCTCTCTCTCTCTCTCTCTCTTGTTTTTTTATTCTCCCCCCCCCTTTCTCTCTCCCTCCCTCT